CACACACACACACTCACATACACATGCACATACATTCTCTTGTCTATTGATGAGGAGCGCCACCTGCTGGAAACTGGGTCCAGCGTCCCATGGACATCATGAATAAGGCATCAACCGAGATCCCACACACACACTTTCTTCGAGTTGTGTATAGCGAACATGACAAAACATACAAACAACACATTCACTACCTTACCCTTCTCGAACCACATAAACAAACGAACTACGGGTTGCGCACCCGTGCCCTCACGGTAAGTCGATAGCTCGGTAGGTTAACACTGGTCACTGATAAGCATGAGGTTCCGGGTTCTAGGTTTGATATTGAAGTGGGTTTGAGTTTCATACTGAAAAAAAATGAGCTCATGAATAAACATCATGGGGATGCAGGTTGTGGGCGGTTGATCATGTTCGCAGCCCGTCAGGGTTGCGTTTTATGCCCTTGAGACCTTCAAAACCAGTTCAACTTTCAACGCCGGTGGTCGTTCGGGAGGGTGGGCAATTTTGAGGTGAGGGCTTAGCAAGGGGCACGGCATGCGAAGGACCGGTAGTTGCCCGTAGGAGGCCAAGGAGACCGTGGTCCTTGAGTTGGACATTTCAAAATTGAAACGGCGTGGGAGGTCGCGGTCCTTCAGTTTTTAACATTTTGAAATCAAAACGGTGTGCGTTCACTTTTCTTGAATAGAAGAGCAATTCGAATCAAACGCATACCCTTGCTATTCAAATTTTGAAAAAAAAAACTATTGTATTCCAATAGAACATTACCTATTCTTTTTTTTGGGGGGGCTCAGCGCTTGCCCTTGTGCTCCCCGCCACCGACATGCTGTAGGGCTCTCTCTCTCTCTCTCTCTCTCTCTCTCTCTCTCTCTCTCTCTCTCTCTCTCTCTCTCTCTCTCTCTCTCTCTCTTACACAACACACAAACTCACACTCTCACTCACTCTCAAATACACACGTGCACACACGCGCACACACATTCTCTTGTTTATTGGTGGGGAGCGGCACCTGCTGGAAACTAGATCCAGCATCCCATAAACATCGTGAATAAAGCACCAGTCGGGACCCCACACATACACACTCTTCGAATCGTGTGCAGGCAACATGACAAAACATACACACAACATAATCACTACCTTACCCTTCCCCAACAACATCAACTTTTGCCCCTACCTTAAGTCAATGGTATTGGTTACTTTAGGGACTCAGCTTGGGGGGGGGCATGGGTTCCAGGTGGGATTGATCAGGAGCTCTGCAGGGTTCGCCTATGGGGCTTGTAATGGCATGCTTACCCTTAGTGCTTGAAGTGTCCGGTACGACGTATCTCGTTCGATAGTGCTTCAATCAGGGTTGGGGAGAGAGGTGAGAGCCTGGTTAGCCCTGAATGCCTATAACTGTTGTCCGGTCAAAGATCACTAGAATGGGCGATGATAATGGGTATACTCAGGTAGGACCTCGGGAGTGGGGTTGCCTCGGGGATTGTAACGATGAGTAAGGGTGGGAGAGTGTCTCATAGGGGATCGGTCAAATGGTCATGTGTGAGCAGGCCTGTCATATCCCTAGTAGCCAGCCTCTATAACTACCTGGAATTAATTTAAAAAAATAAAAAATAAAAAAAGTGTTAGGTCCCTCTGGACATCGCGATACATAGAAGATTAGCATGACCCCTGCGTAAGGATGGAAAGCATAAATCGAGAAATGGTCCAAATTTAAAAAAAAAAAAAAAAAAAAAAAAAAAAAACTTGGGCCCAGTCT